AAGACAGATGGCCGAGAGTGGAAGTGCTGTTATTACATCGCGTGGGCGTGAGAAGGTTGAGGAGCTGATGAGTATCTTCGAAACGGCATTGGAAACATCTGATAAGGAAACAGAGCAGTCAGATTGGCTTAACGAAGCAGTCATCATTCTCTACGGGTCTCTTGCGCAGCATCTAGTTGCGGGAGATAACCGCATTCAAAAAGTCACTCGCAAGCTTATGGATGCTTTATCAACACCTTCAGAAACAGTGCAGCTTGCTGTTGCCCAATGTCTTATCCCACTCATCCGATTAGATGGATCAGATGCTAGCCATTTTGTGCAGGAATTGCTCGACCAGCTTTTCACATCTAAGAAGTATGCAGCCCGCCGTGGAGCGGCTTATGGGCTAGCAGGCCTAGTCAGGGGTAAAGGAATACTGGCACTCCGCGACTTTGGAATTATGTCTCGCCTAACGGAAGCATCTGAGAATAAAAAGGAGTCAAACCAACGACAGGGAGCCGTCCTAGCATATGAACTACTGGCATTTGTTCTCGGCCGTGTATTTGAGCCATATGTGATACGGATTGTTCCGCAACTCCTAACGAGTTTTGGCGACCCAAGTATTGACGTCCGTGATGCCTGTTTAGACGCGGCAAAGGCCTGCTTCGCAAGCCTAAGTTCCTTTGGAGTTAAGCAGATTCTCCCAACGTTGCTGGATGGTCTGGATGATACTCAATGGAGAAGCAAAAAGGGTGCTTGCGACTTGCTTGGCGCAATGGCCTATCTTGACCCCCAGCAACTTGCTCTCAATCTCCCAGATATCATCCCACCACTTACAGAGGTCCTGAATGACAGTCACAAAGAGGTTCGCAACTCTGCCAATAGGAGTTTGCAACGTTTCGGAGATGTTATAAGCAATCCAGAAGTCAAGAGCCTGGTTTCAATCTTGCTAAAAGCTCTCAGTGACCCAACCAAATACACCGATGAAGCTCTGGATGCTTTAATTAAAATTTCTTTCGTCCATTACCTTGACGCGCCCTCTTTAGCATTGGTAGTGCGAATTCTCGAGCGAGGCTTGAGTGATCGATCAACAACCAAGCGAAAGGCAGCGCAAATTATTGGCAGTTTAGCCCATCTTACAGAACGCAAGGATTTGATATCGCATTTGCCAATTCTGGTTGCTGGGCTTAAGACTGCTGTTGTTGACCCTGTGCCAACTACTCGAGCAACTGCTTCAAAGGCTCTTGGATCCCTTATTGAGAAACTAGGAGAAGATACTCTTCCAGATCTCATTCCCAGTCTTATGGCAACCCTCAAATCAGAGGCCGGAGCAGGAGATCGAATGGGTTCGGCCCAGGCTCTTGCTGAAGTTCTCGCCGGTTTGGGTACGTCACGTTTGGAAGACACTCTGCCTTCGCTTCTGCAAAATGTCTCCAGCTCGAAACCGACTGTCCGGGAAGGATTTATGACTCTATTTATTTTCCTTCCTGCATGCTTTGGTAACAGCTTTGCGGCTTATTTAAACCGTATCATTCCTCCTATTCTTGTTGGTCTTGCAGATGAGGTTGAATCGATACGAGAAACTTCGCTCCGAGCCGGCCGACTGCTAGTGAAAAATTTCTCCACAAGATCGATTGACCTCCTTCTCCCTGAGCTTGAACGTGGTTTAGCGAATGACAATTGCCGTATCCGTCTTTCTTCTGTGGAGCTTATTGGTGATCTTCTATTCAATTTGACAGGTGCTACTGCCACTGATGGCGAAGAGGAAATCGATTCTGCAATCCAAGCTGGTCAATCCCTTCTCGAAGTTCTTGGTGAAGAGAGGCGTAATAAAGTACTTTCATCGCTTTATATTTGCCGCTGCGATACTTCAGGCTTGGTCAGGAGTGCTGCTATCAATGTCTGGAAGGCATTGGTCGCTACGCCTCGGACGTTGAAAGAGTTGGTACCGACGCTCTCCCAGGTTATTATCCGGCGTCTGGGAAGCTCAAATATGGAACAAAAGGTTATTGCTGGAAATGCTTTAGGAGAATTGATCAAAAAGGCAGGGGAGGGGGTTCTCTCGACTCTGCTGCCGGAACTAGAAGAAGGGCTCATCACGTCGACCGACATCGATGGAAGACAGGGTATATGTTTGGCTGTCCGGGAGCTTGTGGTATCATCCTCCGACGAATCACTTGAAACGTACGAGAAGGCACTTATATCTATTGTCAAAACCGCCTTGGTCGATACTAACGACCAAGTCCGTGAGGCTGCTGCGGAAGCTTTCGATGCCCTCCAGCAAGCGCTGGGCAAGAGGATTGTTGACAGGGTTCTACCAGACCTTCTACATCTGTTGCACAATGAAAACGATGCCGAGCAGGCGCTTGCTGCTCTTCTTACTCTGTTGACCGAAGCCACTAGAGCCAACATCATATTGCCAAATCTTATCCCAACTCTATTGACCAAGCCAATTACTGGATTCAATGCTAAGGCGTTGGCATCACTTTCCAAGGTTGCCGGAGGCGGGATGAACCGAAGACTACCAACCATCCTGAACACTCTTATGGACGAGATAATCTCCACAGAGGACAGCGGTCTTAAGTCAGAAGTTAGCGAGGCATTCGACACCGTGCTTGATTCGGTGGACGAATTTGACGGTTTGAATGTTGCCATGAACGTAATGCTTGCGTTAATGAAACATGATGACCACAGACGACGTTCAAGCGCAGCCATGCACCTTGCTACGTTCTTCAGCAACACAGAGATGGATATTTCTCGATTCTACCCAGAGCTGATACGAGTGCTTCTGATCTCCTTTGACGATCGTGATAAGGAGGTTGTAAAGGCGGCATGGGATGGTCTCAACCAACTAACCAAGAGCATGAAGAAAGAAGAGATGGAAGTCCTTGTAAATCCAGCTCGCCAAGTACTCCGACAAGTTGGTGTACCAGGATCCAACCTTGCCGGATTCTCTCTACCTAAAGGAATCGGGGCTATACTCCCTATATTCCTTCAAGGTTTATTGAATGGAAATATTGAGCAACGCACACAGTCTGCTCTGGCGATTGGTGATATCATTGACCGAACTAGCCCAGAGTCACTTAAGGCATTCGTGACTCAAATTACAGGTCCTTTGATTCGTGTGGTCTCAGAGAGATCCGTGAATATCAAATGTAGGTTCCCAGTCCTGACTGTGAAACTTCACCCTTTGACTAACTAATAATAATTTAGGTGCAATATTCCTTGCCCTTGACAAGTTGCTTGAAAAAATCCCACTATTTGTCAAGCCATTCTTGCCACAACTGCAAAGAACTTTTGCTAGAGGGTTGGCAGATACATCCAGCGAAACTTTGCGGACTCGAGCTGCCAAAGGCTTGGGCATTTTGATTACATTAACGCCACGAGTAGATCCGCTTGTTGCAGGTAGGTGGCTGCTTAGCCATGATTCACCATATCAAAATAACCATTTACTAACACCATTCAGAGCTCATCACTGGTTCCAAGACTACTGATCCTGGTGTTAAGAATGCAATGTTGCGCGCGCTTCACGATGTTGTTGATAAAGCTGGCACAAACATGAGTGAGGCCTCAAGACAAGCTGTGTTTGGTCTTGTTGACAATGATTCAGTCGACGATGGTACTTTGAGCCCCCGGATATCTGCTATGGCACTTTTGTCAACGTATTTCTAACGTCTTTATAGCTGCGACAACGATTACGAACGCCAAGCTTGCTGGAGCATTGATCAAATCGCTGCCCACACCCACTGCTATTCCCCTTATCAAGTAGGTATACTACGTGCCTATCTAGATGAGACTGAGACTAACGTAGGCATCAGAAACCGGATACTGGCAACACAACTGACGCATCAATCTATTCTCCGGCTGAACGCCATCCTCGTAGAATCGCCTGCCCTACTGAACGAAAACTTCCGTTCAGAGGTACCTGTGGCGATCTGTCATGCAATCAGAAACAGTGATGTATATTTACCTTAGCGCCCCAATGGTAATACAATTCACCCACTAACAATCCTGGTAGGTTTTCATATCCGACAATGGTGTCCTTGCGGCTGGGAAATACCTATTATCCTCTCATATGGACCGCAAGCCTGAGGACGAACAGGAGGTGTTCGAAGCTTTGGCAGGCGTAGTACAACCTGGTAAACCAGTGGACACTCGACGACTGACACTGGTGGTTCTACGGACGGTTGCTAGGGAAAACGAAGAAATGATCGCACGCTATAGATCTCTTGTGGTGCCACCTGTTTTTGGGGGAGTCCGTGATACGGTCATTCCCGTGAAGTTGGCTGCCGAAGCTGCCTTCCTGGCTATCTTCTCTGTCGTTGAGTCTGAAGGCGAGGTCTTCGAGGAGTACATGAAGGGCCCCGGAGCAGAGCTTCCAGCTGGACCCAAACGCAGCATGCAAGACTACTTCAAGCGTGTGGCCCTCCGACTAGGAGGCCAAGCTAGGGAGAGGAGAGAAGCCGAAGGTGGCCAAGGCGGCCTAGGTCTCTCGAGCGATGAAGTAGAAGATGAAAAAGAAGTCTGGAGCGTGGGCAAGGTGGATCTTGGGGAATCATTCGGCGATGATTAGACTGGCAAGGCCAGCTGGAGGCGATATGTACTGCCTTATGGAACTGTCTGATGATACCGAGCATAGAGCAAGTAGATAGACCTAGGGTTGCCCCTTTTGTAAATAGGACGCGGAAGCCTTGGCCCCGAAAAAATTATATCACGTGGAATGACTAAGCATACTAAAAAGGCATAGCGCCATAAAACCCTAACTCGGCTACTCTTTGGTGCGTCTCGCTTAGCAAGTCACACTCGCTTAGCTAATCGAAAACGAAACGTCCACCTCTTGTTCGTTTTTGTCGATTTGCGGATTCAGAACAGCAATCCATCACTCACTCGGCCATCGACAACTAACCCGGCATCAAGATGTGAGTCCACCCTGCTGCTTCATCGGATCGAAGACAACTCCCGAATATCTCCCTCTCGAATGCATGCCGCGTCGCTGTATTGTGGCAGAAACTTCTCATGGCATGGCGTTAAGAGAGGGCAAGAAATTTTGTCGCTCTCGTGATATGGAAATGGAAGCGAAGAGACAACTGTGACTGACCATTTGGTGTCTTCAATAGGGTCAACCTTCGCACTCAGAAGCGCCTGGCCGCCTCCGTGGTCGGCTGCGGTCAACGCAAGATCTGGCTTGACCCCAGCGAGGTCAACGAGATCTCTACCGCCAACTCTCGCCAGACCATCCGCAAACTCATCAGCGATGGACTCATCATCCGCAAGCCCGTCACCATGCACTCGCGCTCCCGTGCCCGTGAGCTCGCAGAGGCCCGACGAAACGGTCGACACAGAGGTTTCGGTAAGAGGAAGGGTACCAAGGACGCCAGAATGCCAAGGTACGTTCCTCCTGAATGCTGCTAAATTCCTGCACAGTTTGGCGATAAAGAATACGCCGCAATTGCCGCCTATTCCTGGAAAATTAGAGAAGAGATGGTTTGGAAAACGCCGGACGACTGACATGTTCGCACACCTTATAGCCAAGTTTTGTGGATGCGCCGCCTAAGAGTCCTTCGACGACTACTTGCTAAATACCGTGCTGCCGGAAAGATTGACAAGCACCTTTATCACGAGCTGTACCACTTGAGCAAGGGTAACACCTTCAAGCACAAGCGTGCCCTCGTTGAACATGTATGGCTCCCCCAGAGTTAAAATCGGGTTTCCCGCTTTAGCAGCAATACTAATATGGGTGCCTACAGATCCACAAGGCCAAGGCCGAGAAACAACGTGAACGTGCCCTCAAGGAGGAGATGGATGCCAAACGTGCTAAGACTAAGGCTGCCCGTGAGAGACGACAAGAGCGTATTTCCGCCAAGCGGAATGCTCTTCTTGGTGAAGATGAGGAGGAGGCATAAACTACCTGTTGACCTTTCAATATGTTTTATTTCCACTTTCCTCCATCCCACTTCTCCTAGTCGGTATCGGTCAGTGGGCAAGGGAGTTCATGTTGATTTTTCGAAACAAAAAAATAATGAAATGGAATTTATGCCCACTATACTCCCTCTCTGGCATTTGTTTGTTCATGTGAGATGTACACGTCTTGTGGATAAACGGTGGATTACACGGATGTTTTGGTACCATAGCTATTGTCATTTTAAACAAGAAAGACAACTAAATGGGACCTTATGAAGCACCAATGCAGATATGTACGGATTTCGGAATCAAACAGAATTCCACCTGAATCAATTGACAATGCCGCTATTCTGGTAACTGGACTGGACTCTTCTGCTTGAGTAATAAAATACATGTATTAAGAACAGTGGAAAATACCAGCATTTTAATAGGTGCGTCACTTGCTGGTTTCTTGTCAATTCGAAGACTGTTCAGTACCGTCCGACCAGATAGGCGATGTAGGACATTCGGAAGGGCATGGTTCTTCGTTCTGATATTCCGTCATATCTCGGACCCTCCTCCAGCGGGAGATAATTGATGGAGTTACTCGCAAGGGCTTGCTGCCCCCGACTGAATTTTGTTTGGAATCGGGACTGCTTCCGGGCAGCAGGATTACGCTGCTACTCTTTGTCCTTGACCTTGATAATAAACAGGATTCTGTCTTATTGGTTTCTGATGGGAACATCAAAGATTCGACATCAATACTTGCCGAGAAATACAGGGACGGGCTGGGTATCGCATTGTCCACGAAATGAGAGCAGTCATCCGAATATGTATGGGCTAGTACGGTCCGTGTCAGACTTGTTGGTATATTGACCTGATTTGGTATTGTCGATAGCTCATCAAGAGAACCACGGAACTCCACAGAGCCGTACTCCTTTTGTTCAAAAGCAGACAGTTTATTCGAAGTTCTGTCAAATTCGCGGATAGTGGTGTGTGTAAAGGACTCTGTCTCTGGCAAGGGCTCGAGCTTAGGCGGGCATTTTCGTTTCCACTGAAAGCCAGGGAGCGATCGGTTATGAAAACTGGGCGGGTTTAGCGGTTGGAAGTATCGAGGAGGTGGAAGCGGAGGAGGCATGGTCTCCTGCTGTTTTAATTTCAAGGGAAACGCGCATGGTGACGGCTTGGTGAGTTGGTTAGGCAACTCATAATCTCGATCACTATTATATGTAGCACTGGGCCGAGTTGCTTTCAGTGATGGTTTGAGACGCGACAATAGCCAGGATCTTCGGCTTCCCATTCGACAGTGCCATATATAGCCAAAGATAAAAATGACGATGGTTAAAAAGACGCCAGTGCCAGTTAAAGAGCAAGCAATGAGAAAAGTCTGCTGTCCTGCTTCCTCTTGACCCGCAGTACGAATGTGTATAGATGGACGGTACTGGGGAGCCATGCTGCTACTGTAAAAAGGTTTATCAGGTTATAATCACAACGGAGAGGTATCAGGTACCCCGACAAGGGTTTAATATCCCAACCATGGCGGCAAACAATGATCTGGGGGGGAAATCTCTCCCTAGAAGTCAGGAAGAAACAGAGGGGCCGGTGGGAATTCGCATATCTACATGAAGCTAGTTAGTCGTAGGGACGAGTTCTGTCAAATCCCATCTGAATCAAAGAATGGAGCATCAATATAGCAATTCCACGCCACAAGCTCGTTGTGAGAGGTGCGCAATGCTTGAAAGGATCGGGGAGCAAGCATTCTTCGGAACCATCCGAGGATCGTTGCCCCGTTGCCCAATTCCTGACAAGATGCGCGGCCTGCATGGTCGAGTTGCATGAACCTGGGATGACGGGTCGACCATGGCAGGCTTCCCGTTAAGAGCCAGGCGTGAAACCAAAGGTGTACAAAGAAGGCGCTAGACGAGGACGCAGAATAAGCGGATCGCTCAACGGGACGGGACGGAACTTGCATTTGATTACGGCGACATGCCCGATGAGAGGGATTTGAGAATCTTTATTCTGCACCAGAAACCGCGGGAGGCTGCATATGAGCTGCTAGAGAAAACCTTCTTATTCTAAAACAATGTCTAGATCAAGAAGGGAGCCATATAGTGTCCAGAGAGTCGCATTCATTCCGTACTAGATTTTTTTTCCCCCTCACTTTGGGTATCAATTGGCGAAATAAGTTGGACCAGAGGTTGGTAGTCACATCTTGGGCTGCTCAGAGATCTTGCAGCGAGAAACTGCGCATAAGATATTTCAAAATCCTGCTATTTTTTAAGCCAAGAGAATAACCTGAAATGCCCTCTTAGGATATAGAAGGACAATAATCCGTGAAAAGGGTAGGGTATGGGTATAGCTTGTGACCCCCTGACAAGCTTCTTCCAGTATGTGTAGGGACTACCCAGGGCCATGCAGTGACCTTGGGCCTAGTTGTGGCACTATTGAAGCTGCCGAACACTGTCTCTCTGCTAGCCCGGGTGTTATATGCCAGTTCCAGCCCTCGCGGCCCTCTTGTCCATTGATCAAGTTGGACGTGAAGCGATCAAAAAACACCCGTTTGTCTGTCAAGAAGTTGGATGTCCCGTCCCGAGGCAGGTCCCGTCGTTGGCCGTTCACGTGACCATTCCGAGTCGGGACCTTGGAACCTTGAGTGATCTTCGACCGCGTCAAAACATCGAGCTTGATTGCATTCCAATTGATATCGTTATACTAGCAGGAGAATACAGAGAACACTCTGCAGCGTTTTTGAAGGTCTTTATACGACGATGCCCAGTTAGTTCTGGCCGCGGCATCCAACGATCACCATTTGAGCTTCTGTTGGTTCCGTGAATGTTGGTGCAAGTGTTATTGTTAGCTGATCTTATGCATCCATCTCCTGCGTCGCACCCCTGACCATACGGCATTTTTCTAATCCCTCGCTTGGGCATAACTAACTAGTTAATACAATCTGTCATTGTTACTCCTTTTCCCATCAATAAAGCAATGGTATGCTACACAAGCTCGAGCGAGTCCTGAAACCGTCTTGATATTGGTACAATTTGCTCCAGCCATCTGGCCTTTACCATTTTACTTCAACCCAACCCGGATAGAAGAAGCCCATCGAAAATTGCACCTCTCAAGGCCGATTGCGGACGTAACAACTCTATCTCCATGATCTGCTCCGACTTAAGATCTTTATCATACCACCTTGCCTTGGTCCTTGTTGCACATATACATCTTATTGCCGGGCAGTCTTAGTTTCAACCGAGCTTTCGGGCAGCGGGGTCTTAGGAACCCAACTCTCTAAACATACCTTAAGGCCGTCATAAAGGCATATCAGCAGTCATGTTCAGCTGGGGAGGGAGTCTGGGTAAGCTTCTTGGTTCCTTACTATCCATTGGCTGTTCTTAAACAAGCTGTCGAGAATATTGCTTTTCCTCGTGGAGTACTCTTGTTTTTCCCCGTTCAAGACCTTCGTTCTACTACATCTTCCCTGCTATTCAGTCGTTTGAACATGTGTAACTGAGATCAATACCGAATTGGGCAGTATTTTATATCTACACTCACTCTATAACGAATGGCTGACCAAGTGGGGAAGCAGCCGTGTCCAGTTTCAGTGTTAATCTAGAAGAGGAGCGTGATCCGCCTCCGCCGCCAACAAAAGTCCAGTTTCCAGACTATGCCAAACTAAATTCAGTCAGGTCTGACGGCGAAACGAGCTGTGATGTTCTCTATCGCTTGTTAGCTCGTGCCAGAAAACCGCAAGATATCACGGATGAATATCTGAAGACATTCAATATCAAGGTGGAATATGATATTGATGCCTCAAACATCGTGCCAAACCATGATCTCAAATCAAAACCCCCATATCAATGGCCAACGCTTGGCTCTGGGAGTGGAGAGGAGGAAATTGATACTCCCATGTTTATGAGCAACGGGGCTCCGTTTCCTGACAAAAGTAAACATGAACTTTTAAAGGGAGAGCTACTATTTGACAATGATGATGCATTTCGATCCCTTGCGCGGCTTGAGCCACCCCCGGGGCGTAAGAATCCGCGAATTGCCCAGGCGAGGAAATTTTGGACCGCTTTACAGCAAGCTGCTCAGTATTGGGATTCAAGCCATGATAATTACTACGAGGTGAGCATGGAAGATACCACTACGTCCAACGGCCATGGGGACAGTTCGGCTCCAGGTAAAGGTACAGATAAAGGTGCATTGGAGAGCAGAATGGATATCGATGGCGGAAAATGCCATAGTCAACCATCAGCCACAATACCCAAAGTAAATGCTAGGAGCCCCAGTGGTAGCAGACGCTACAAAGGTCGGAGAATTGGTGCAGGAACAGATATGCCTGATTCAGTCCGAGAAGACGTTTTACGTGGACTGGTGGAAATGGTAGCATGGTCCCTCGGCTGCCAGGTTAAGCTACCAACAATGCCGCCTCGTCTTGCTGTCAAAGATCTCCTATTTCCTGTGCGGCAGAGTTTCACCGTTTCACGCATCCCACAGGATAGGCAGGAAGCACGCAAACACATCCTGGAAGGGCCTGTACTAGTTGCCCAGTGCCGGCCGGAAACACATTTCTATGACGAAGCCACTGGACAGAGACATATCGAGAAATGTGATATCTTGCGGGAAACAGCAGGAATGCTGCTACTAGCCCAGGAAAGAGCGCGAGAAAATCAGGCCGAAGCCAAACCCGGAGATGGAAAATGGTGGGCGTCTACGCCTCGCTGGGGAGGCCTCCCGAATAACGGCCCAGTTGGTGAACCAATTCCAACTGCTCCAGAGCAGCAGCAGCAGGCTGAACCTGCGCTGACGAATTCATCAGTGGATAATGAGGCCACGGTGAACAAGCGGACAAAACACGACAGGTCATCTCTTTCATTTCGGCGAGGAGCAGGGCTAAACAATAGGAGAGTCTCAATGATAGAGAAATGGAAAAGCGTCCAGCCCGGTCCAGGATTGTGGGATAAGAGAATGAAATATGTAAAAATCGGGTCTAACTCGAACTGTCCGTTTGATGATGTGAGTTACA